CTGTTGGGGCTGTGAGGTGACTGGCCAGATCCTTGGCTGCGAGGCGACGCCAAGACTGGCCAGCCAGGCCATCGAAGGGGCCACTGGACACCCAAGTGGTTGGCTTCGGGGTTGCATCCCCACGGCTCGGGCCTGGCCTCCCGAGCCGCCGGGCACTCGAGTCCGCCGACGGGCTCCCTGCTTTGCCCTGCCTGCGCCTGCTCGAGAGGCGCCTGCTTTGCCCTGCCTGCGCTTGGCATGACGCGCCGGGTCAGCTTAGGATCGAAGGCAAAGTCGGGGCGCTGAAGAAGGACAACTTTTCGTTGGGGAGGGGCTCGGTGTTCATTGATTGTTGTTCAATTTGCTTCAGGTTTCCCGAAGGTTTTCCATGGGAAATCGGAGTCCAACTTTTGGGCAAAAGGGGGCCTCGTTCCTGATTTGGGGTTCCTTGGGGCAACGCCCCGACTGTGGGGCTTGGCTCGCAGGCGACGCTTCGGGAGGCATGGCTTCTGGCCACGTCCGTCTCGGGCGAGGGCCGGGGCCCCGGGCCAGGCGTCGCGGGCTGGCGGGGGGCCCGCTCCCAGGGATGCGGCAAGGCATCGATCGAGGCGAGCTTCTCGGGGGCCCCCAAACGGTCTTGGCATCGCTCGGACGTGTGCATTTTTCGTTCGGCGAGGACCATCGAGGAGCATCCTTGATCCTTTTGGCGAAAAAAAAAAACACGCACGAAACCGAAAAAAAACACAGGGAATGGACGACCGAGCGATGGCCAGCGGTGTGGTGAACACACCGTGTGGTGAGTCGGTGGGGATTCGGGGTCGCCGCACGGATTCGGGGCTCGGGTCCTTCTCCGAGGAGATGTCTCGGGCGACGGGGGCCTCCAGGGTCCCAAAACCGTGCGGAGACGGACCGTGCGGTGAGTTCTTGGGGGATGTTGAGGTCACCGCACGGTCCGTCACCACCGTTTTGGCACTCCAGAGCTTCTTGCTCTCAGAGAGGCCTTGCCGGCCACTCTGGGCCGTGGCCTCTCTGACGCCACAGGCAGTGTCTGCGTTGCGCGTGGGCTTCTTCAACCTCAGATCCATGGCCCGCTGGAGGCCCAAGAAGAATCGAGATTCATCCGTAGATAGTTTGGCTCAATCCAATGTTGATTCAGGGTCGATGCTGTGTTGGATGACAGGCATCAGGCGAGAATGTCGTCCAGATATCGCCTCCACTTCCTCCTCTTCTCCTCATTATTGTCCTGCTTCTTCTTCTTCTTCTTCTTCTTCTTCTTCTTTTCGTCATTTCGAAGCGGCTGTGAAGGATTGTGGGAGGACGCAGCGATGGAGCGCAGCACTGCAACTGTTCCGCGAAACATCCCAAACATGCGTCAAAGTTAGCGCAGGCCACTATATCGCGATCGTTGGCGCATGTGGGAAATCCAGACAGTGGCAGCGGTCTCTATGGTTTATCAGTGAAATGGTAGAAAGAAGAATTGAGGCCAACGCCATCTCTCCTACATGGCGGGAGGAAGCGCGTGCCAAACCTGCGGGGACTCATGTGCACACGCTCGCCCCTTTACGGCCTCACCACGTGGTCGAATCGCCCACGAGGGCCCAAGAGGCGCCCCAGAGCGGCTGCAAGACAGTCCGCGAGCGCTCCAAGACGGCCTCAGTTGGTGCCGAGACGGGCCTTGACGCTCCAAAGACCTCCGAAGGTGGCTCCAAGACCATCCAAGAGGTCCCAAAGACGTTCCGAGAGGGCCCCGAGAGGACGCCAACGAGGCAAACTTGGTTACATTCCTATGGGAAAACGTACATGTTTAGCATATACGCCTCTTCCGTTGTTACACGGCCCAGGACAGACCACGACGCCTCCCAAAACCCCCCACGACGACCCAAGCGGCCTCCAAAAGGGCCCCAAGACGGTCCAAGAGGGCCCACAAACGGCCAAAGGGGGCCTTCAAACGGCTTGAGAGGGCCCCATGACGGCCCCAAGAGGGCTCCAAGAGGGCCCGACGAGGCTCCCAAGAGGTCCCAGGAAGCCCTCCAGAGAGCCCCACGACGGTCCAAGGCCTCCAAGGCGCCCCAAAGACTTCTGAAGGTGGCTCCAAGACGGTCCAAGAGGCCCCACAGAGGCTCCAAGGGGCCCCGAGAGGACGCCAAAGAGTCAAGAATGATCACAGTTTTACGGGAAAATGTGCATTGTCAGCGCCTCCGCATTTTGCATTGTTACACGGCCCAGGACAGGCCAAGAGGCCCCCCCAAACCCCCCAAGACGACCCAAGCGGCCCCCAAGAGGGCTCCAATACAGTCCAAGAGGGCCCACAAACGGCCTCAAGCGGCCTGAGAGGGCCCCAAGACGGCTCCAAGACGGCTCCAAGAGGGCCCGACGAGGCTCCCGAGAGGGCCCCAGGAAGCCCTCCAGAGAGCCCCACGACGGTCCAAGGCTTCCAAGGCGCCCCAAAGACCTCTGAAGGTGGCTCCAAGACGGTCCAAGAGGCCCCACAGACGCTTCGAAAGGACGCCAAAGAGGCAAAAATGGTCACATTCCGATGGGAACTGGCGAAGAGGCCCCCAAAGAAAACCCAAGACGACCCAAGCGGCCCCCAAGAGAGCCCTCAAACAGCGTCCCGCGACCGCACGAGAGCACCAAGAGGGCCCTCACTGGCTCCCAAGCGGGCCTCGGGAAGCCTCGAAGACGCCCTGAGTTGGTCCCGGCACTGGCCTCCAGGCTCCATACCTCCGATGGTGGCTCCAACACGGTTCAAGAGGGCCCTCAGACGCTGCGACAGAGCCCAGAGAGGACGCCACATACATAAAAAAACTTGAAATTCTCATGGAAAACGCATAATGTCGTTGTATTCGCTTGAAGCGCGCCCCAGCGGCCCAGGATACGCCAACAGGCTTTCCAAGTCGCCCAATGCCAACCCAAGCGGCTCCCACGAGGGCCCCAAGAAGGCACCGTGCCGCCGCAACACATCCTTCAAACACCTCACAAGGGGCCCCAGGAGAGCTACAAGAGAGCTTCAAGATGATCGCGAGCGGGCCGCGTGAAGACTGCAAGACGGGCAGAGCTGCTCCCGACGGTGGCCTCGAGGCTCCACAAGCCTCCGCAGGTGCCTCCAAGACGGTTCACGAGGGCCCCAAGACGCTGCGAGAGGGCCCCGAGAGGACGCCAAAGAGGCGAAAATCATTGCATTCCTGTGGGAACTTGCATATTTTGAGCATTTCCGCTTTGGGCGCTGTTCACCGGCCCAGGACACGCCAAGACGCCTTCCACATCGTCCCACGACGACCCAAGCGGGCCCCAACAGGGCTCCATGACAGCCCCTGAGTGCCCTCAAAAAGCGCAGCAAGGCCCCAGGAGAGCTCCGAATGGGCCCTCTGAGGCTCCCAAGCGGGCCTCAGGAAGCCTCTGGGACCGCCTGAGCTGGTCCAGAAGCTGGCCTCGAGGCTCCACAGACCTCCGAACGTGGCTCCAAGACGATGCCTGAGAGCGCACAGACGCTGCGAGAGCGCCTGGAGAGGACGCATCAGAGGCAACAGTCCCTACATTTTGATGGGAACACCTACATTTACATCACATCTGTTTGTTGTGCTCCAGACCACCATTTCAGCCTACCAGTCTCTGCAAGCCACGGCTCCTTTTTCTCCGGCCGTAAGAGCTCTTACGGCCCGAGGAAATCTCTTGTGTTGGAAAGCACCTGGCCCCATCTTGCAATCACAGGCGATCGTCGCTTTTGCTCGTCGAGGCCCCGAGGACGCTTCGAGAGGGCCCCGACAGGACACCAAAGAGGCAACAATCGTCACATCCCTTCGGGAAAAACGTTCAGTTTCAGCATGTCCGCCTTTTGCGCTGTTACACGGTCCAGGACAGACCAAGAGGCCTCCCAAAAACGCACAAGACGGCCCAAGCGGCCCCCAAGAGAGCCCCAAGATGGTCCAAGAGGGCCCAAAGACGTCCCAAGGGGGCCTTCAAACGGCTTGATAGTGCCATGAAGACGGCCCCGAGAGGGCTCCAAGAGGGCCCGAAGAGGCTCCCAAGAGGGCCCCATGAAGCCCTCCAGCGAGCCCCAAGACGGCCCAAGCCCTCCAAGGCGCCCCAAAGACCTCTGAAGGTGGCTCCAAGACGGTCCAGGAGGCCCCACGGACGCTTCGAGAGGGCCCCCGAGAGGACGCCCAAGAGGTAAACATTGTCACATTCCTATGGGGAAACTTGTATTTTCAGCATGTCCGCCGTTTGCATTGTTCAACGGCACCGTAACGGGTACTCACTAACGGGTACTTTGAATGTTTGCCGAAAGTTGCCTTTTTAGGGCCTTTTTCTTGCATTGCAGCTTTGCCCACATCGGGAAGGGTTGGGTTCGCTGGGTCACTGGCCAAAGTACCCGTTTGTGGAGTCCCCGTTTGAGGGGCGCTGAATTGTTGCACGGTCCAGGACAGACCAAGAGGCTTCCCAAGAACGCACAAGACGACCCAAGCGGCCCCCGAGAGGGTCCAACGACAGTCCAAAAGAGGGCCCAAAGACGGCCCGAGGGGGACCTCCAAGCGGCCCGAGAGGGCCCCAGGACGGGTCCAAGAGGGCTCCAAGACGGCCCGACGAGGCTCCCAAGGGGGCCCCAGGAAACCCTCCAGAGCTCCAAGACGGTCCAAGGCCTCCAAGACGCCCCGTGACGGCCCAAACGGGCCCCAATACGTCCCAAAACGGCAACAGAACGGCCCAACAGGGCCCTTGAAGGGCCCCGTAAAGTCCCCCACAAGGACCAATGAGACGGCGCACAGACGTCTAATAAAAGAGCGATCGGTACAGTAAAAAGCTCTCCAATCCAAGGCTCCCAAGAGCGAACAGAACACTGTAATCTCTTCAACCCGAGGGCTCCGCGAGCGAGCCGCAACGTCAAAACCTCTGAAGCTGGAGCCCGAAGCTATCATCATCCCACGAATCTGGGACAAGTGCGTGGGCCAATCGCTTTCTCGGCCTCCAGCGGCGTCGGCACTGGCTCCGGGTCCCTGTGGGCTCTGGGTCACCAAGACGTCGCAGAGACAGCCTCTGGTAATGTCCGAGATGGCCAGAATTGGCCCCGACAGCCGCCAGACAGGGCCCCCGAGAGATCTCAAGCGGTTCCAATCGGCCTCCAAAAGGCCCCAAGACGCCCCACGAGGCCTTGCAGGAATTGTCCAGAAGATCACGGCATCTGCAAAGCTTTCCAAGACCCAAAGGAAGATGTCTGCTTTTTGCTTCGCAGGCTTTTCGACGCGAGACAGCTCTAAGACGGCTTCGGGGGAGACTCTTGAGCTCTTTGCGGGCCACCTTGGGCCTTCTGGGGGCCCCCATTGAGCCTCCTGGGTTGTTTTCGGGGCCTCCTTGGGCCGTCTCAGCCCGTCTTCGGGCCGTCTTAGGGCCCTCTGGGCGGCCTTTGACTGCCTCAAGAGAGCCCAAGGGCGGCCCCAGAGGGCTCCCAGGATATTGCAGAAGGCTTCGGAGAGCTTCCAGACGGCCCGACACGCCCTCCAGAGAGCGCCACGACAGCCAAACAGACCCCCAGAGATTCCCGAGACTGCTCAGGACGGCCCCAAGAGGGCCCAACGAGGCCCCCTATATCGGCCATAGGGCCCCCCAGCACGGCATCCATATCCGGCAGCACACACACGCCAGCAGCGGCAGCAATTAGTAGCTAGCAGCAGACAACAAGCAGCCGCTGCATGGCCCGCGGTCGGCTGGCGGCCATCCCCGCTGCCGTGGCGTACGGCAGAGGGTCAGTTGCGACCGCCAGGCCTGCCAGCATGCTGGCAGTGACGTCGGGAAGACAACTGTCTGGCTACCAGCTACGCGCACAAAACAGCAGGCAAGCGATCTCAGCTTCTGCACGCGGGCAAGCTGTCGTGGCACGCGGACAAAACAGCAGGCACGCGGACGTAAGTCCACGAGTCAGCTCTAGTCAGCTACAACGCTGGGATCAGCGCGTGTGAGAAGGGCGAGCAGTGGCAGCGGGCGCTGGCCCTGCTGAGCGAGATGTGGGAGGCGAAGGTGGAGCCCGACGTCATCAGCTACAGCGCTGGGATCAGCGCGTGTGAGAAGGGCAAGCAATGGCAGTGGGCGCTGGCCCTGCTGAGCGAGATGCGGGAGGCGAAACTGGAGCCCAACTTCATATCTCCCACAATACTGGGAACAGTGCGTGCGAGAAAGGTTTCTGGACAGAGTGGTTTCCGGCGGCTCGGAACCGCTGAAGAGAGCGCCCCGACGGCCCCACGACAGCTCCGAGAAGCTCCAGAGGCCACCCGGACTGCCCACAGACGGTTCCGAAACGTTCAGGAGGGCGCCCCCACGACCCCAAGACGGCTGCGAGTCGCTTCAGAGGCCACCCCGACGGCCCCAGGGGCGCTCCGAGCCGCTCAAAAGGGCAGGCGCAAAAATCGCCCCTTTCGTTTCGGAAATTCTTTTCGTCTCCGACGCGCCCACGACGGCCACAGAGCCCCCCACGATCGTCCTAAGATGCCCATCAGGGCCCCGAAACGGGCCCAGCACGGCCCAAGAGGCGCCCAAGACGGCCCAAGAGACACCCAAGACAGCCCCAATGACGGCGCCAGACGGCCAAAGATGGCGCGAACACGGCCCACTAGGCGCCCAAGACGGCCCACGACGGCCCCAAACCGCTCCAGAAGGCATCCAGACGGCCCAAGAGGCGCCCAAGACGGCCCAAGACGGTTGCGAGACGGCCCAAACGGCACCAACGAGAGCCCAGGAGGGCCCCAAAAGACCCATTCGAAGCCGAAATGAAGTCCCAAGAGGCCCCCACACGGCCCCCAAGAGGCCCTTAGTGGTTACATAATTCCCTCCAACATAGGGGTGGCGGACGAGAGGTGAGAGGCATAACGCAGGCCCCAACAGCCGTTTTCTATGCTCCGAGGGTCTACGATTGATGATCCAAGATCCACGACATGCAGGATCGAGGCAAGAAGGCGGAGGAGGAGAAGGAGGAGGAGGAGAAGGAGAAGGAGAAGGAGGAGGAGGAGGCGGAGGCGGAGGAGATGGAGCAGGAGGAGGAGGAGGAGGAGGAAACCCGAGAAGGCCCAGAAGTCACGAGGGTCTAGATGACGTACGGAGCTCTGAGCGCGGCCCCAAGACGTCCCAAGAGGAGCCCGGACGGCCCGAGAGGGTCCCAAAAGGTCCCGAAGAGGCTCACAAGAGGGCCTGAGAGGACTTCAACCCCCCAAGAGGCCCAAAGAGGCTTCAAAACTGCCTCCAAGAGAGGGAGCCCGGTGCCCCTGACACGCCCGAGAGAGCTTCGCCTTCAACAGAACTTCAACAAGGCGGCCTCCCCAACGTAGCGGAGCACGTCCGACTCATCAGCTTTTTCTGTTAAGGTCGTATTATTTTTGTCATATATATGACAGTGCTAGGATGCTGCAAGTCAGCTACAATGCTGGGATCAGCGCGTGCGAGAAAGGCTGCCAGTGGCTACAAGCTTTGTCACTGCTTAGCAAAATGCGGGAGGCGGAGTTGGAGGCAGACGTCGTTAGTTACGGCGCTGCCGTCAGTGCGTGCGGATCAGGCGGGCAGTGGCAGCAGGTGTTTGCTTTGTTCAGCGAGATGTGGAACGCGAATTTGGAGCCCGATGGTATCGTTTACGGCGCTGGGATCAGCGCTTGTGGGAAAAGCATGCAATGGCAACGCGCGCTATCATTGGTCAGCGACTGTTGTGGTGCAAGGTTGAAGCCGAGCGTTGTGAGCTACAATGCTGGGGTCAGCGCTTGCGAGAAAGGCGAACAATGGCAGCAGGCTCTGTCGCTGCTCAGCGAGATGAGGGAAGCGAAGCTAGAGCTTAACGTCATCAGTTGTAGCGCTGGGATCAGCGCTTGCCAGAAATGTGAGCAGTGGCAGCATGCTATGTTGTTGCTTACCAGGATGTGGCTGTCGAAGATGGAGCCCAACGCAATCAGCTACAATGCTGGGATCAGCGCGTGCGAGAAAGGCTGCCAGTGGCAACATGCACTGTCGCTGCTCCACAGAATGCGGAAGGCGAATTTGAAGCCAGACGTCATCAGCTACAGCGCTGGGGTCAGCGCGTGCGGATCAGGCGGGCAGTGGCAGCAGGCTCTGTCGCTGCTTAGCGAGATTTGGGAGGCGAAGTTGAAGCCAAACATAATAAGCTACAACGCTGGGATCACCGCGTGTGAGAAAGGTGAGCAGTGGCAGCAGTCGCTGTCGCTGCTAAGCGAAATGAGGGAAGCGCAGCTGGAGCCCAACACCATCAGCTACAATGCTGGGATCAGCGCGTGCGAAAAAGGGAGGCAGTGGCAGCAGGCTTTGTCGCTGCTCCGCGAGATGTGGGAGGCGAAGTTGGAGCCCAGCATCATTAGCTACAGCGCTGGGATCAGCGCGTGCAAGAAAGGCGAGCAGTGGCAGCATGCTCTGTGGCTGCTCCGCGAGATGCGGGAGGCGAAGTTGGAGCCCAGCGTCGTTAGCTACAGCGCTGGGATCAGCGCGTGCGAGAAAGGTGAACAGTGGCAGCTAGCTCTGTCGCTGCTCCGCGAGATGCGGGAGGCGAAGTTGGAGCCCAACGCCATCAGCTACAATGCTGGGATCAGCGCGTGCGAGAAGGGCTGCCAGTGGCAACATGCTCTGTGGCTGCTCCGCGAGATGCGGGAGGCGGAGTTGAAGCCAAACGTCATCAGCTACAGCGCAGTGGTCAGCGCGTGTGAGAAAGGTGAACAATGGCAGCAGGCTCTGTCGTTGCTCCGTGAGATGAGTGAAGCGAAGGTGGAGCTCAACGTCATCAGCTGTAGCGCTGGGGTCATCGCCTGTGAGAGAAGTGAGGAGTGGCAGCAGGCCTTGGCGCTGCTTGGCGACATGCAGAAGTGCGTGCTGGAGCCTGACACGGTCTGCTGCAGCCTTGGGGTCAGCGCGTGCGAGAAGGGCTGGCAGCTGCGGGCCGTCCCGTCGATCCTCGCCGACCTGTGCGGGGCGGTGCGCCACTGCAGCCGCGACAGGCGCGCCGCGAGGCGACGCGCGTTTCCGGCTCTGTGCGGCGCGGGAGGCAGCTGTCATCGGCTGTCCTCTCCTCCTGTCCATGATCCACACGAGGGAAAATAATGAACGACATTTCTGACATCTTTCGCAGGCCTAGAGGTTGACACCAACACCAATATCGGCGTTGTTCCTCCACCGAGGGAGTGGGGACCCCGATCTCGGTGATGGTGGTAATATTCTGGCTTCAAAGGTGACCGAAATATTACCACCAACATCGAAATCTAGGATCATCTCCCCCCTGTGGAGGCAGCCCCCTGTCTTGGTGTTGGTGCCAACTTCCAGGCTTCCAAATCTTGTGCGTGAGCTGACAGGGAGCAGGAATGTTCAAGCTTTCGAGGTTAGGAGCCACGTCTCGGAGGACGAGCTGGGGAGATCCAGCCCTGAGGTGCGTGCGTTCTTCGCTTTCAACGAGCTGGCTGATACAGTCGGGGCCCTGAGGAAGGAACCCTTTTGGTCGGGCAGGGGCTCCGCGTTCCTTAAGTGTTTCGCAGCTTGCCTCAGGTTTTCCTTATGTTTTCGATCGGAAATCGAAGTTTAACTTATGGAAAAAAGAGGCCTCGTTCCTTATTTTGGGTTCCTTAGGTCAAGGCCTCGACTGTAAGTCGGCTGATAGGCTTCCCCCCGAGGCTCCAATCCCCCCGGGACTGCCGAGTCCTTCAAAGAGCTAGAGGCAGAAGCGAGGGACATCCGAAAGCGCCTGGCCCCCACCCTCTCCTGCATGCCAGCCTCGGCCGGAGCCGAGGAGAAGGCGGCGGCGCAGGGGACGGCCAGGCAGATTCCTGACCTGCCCGCCGTTCTCAGAGACACCTTGCACCTGCCAGGAAGAAGGCGTTCGGGCCGCCGTCGTCGTCGCCAGTAGCCCTGTCGTTCCTGTGGCTCGGGGCCCACCAGCGGGGGCAAGTCAGCAGTAGTGAAGTGGCTCCGTGCTCTCCACCAGGCCCCCAGGCTCGTCGCTCCTGCCGCCAACGCCCCGCGGGAGGTTAGGCCCTGCAGGGGGGGTGTCTCGGCGCACCCTTCTCACACGATGCGGTGGTGGGAGGCGGGGGTTGGGCGCTCGGAAGGTACTCATGTTTGCCTGCTCCAGATGTGGAGGCTTCGGCACAGACCGCTTCCGCTTGACCGGCAGACTTGCCGAAGAGTGCGAGCCCCCAACACGCAAGGACCTCGAACACCTCAAGTTGTTGGAGGGAGGACGTGCTCCTGGCCACGCAAAGCTGGCGAGGGAGATCATCGTCCTGAGGTGATCGTGGACGGAGCGCGAAGCGCACAGGCTAGTCTAATATCGCCGTTCTCGCCCCCGTCGTCCTCCTTGCCGGCGTCGGCGTCGCCGTCGCCGAGGCAGCCGCCGCCGGCGCCGCCGTCGTTCTTGGGATGGGTCTCGGGAGCCGGTGCTGAGGACGAGGAGGGCGGCGAGGGGCGCCGCGCCCGCCGACGGCGGCGGCGACGACGACGACGACGCGTAAGACGCCTAAGACGTCGAAGACGACGACGTCGAGGACGACTACGTCCAAGACGGCGACATCGAAGACGACGACGTCGAAGCTGTCGAAGAGGACGGCGAGGACAACCAGGGCGTCGAGGACGAGGAGTATGAGGAAGAGGCGTAGGAGGGGGAGGAGGAGGAGGAGGAGGAGGAGGAGGAGGAGGAGGAGGAGGAGGAGGAAGAGGAGGAGGAGGAGGAGGAAGAGGAGAGAAGGGCGAGGGCGAGGACCTCGGGCCTGACGAGGGCGAGGGCAGCGACGGCGACGACGAGGAGGACGACGGGGAGCTCGGCCCTGCCCGGCGCTCCGCACCCTCTGCCGCTGTTGCCGCCGCCTCCGCCGCCGCCCGCCAGGCTGCGCGGCCAGAGCGTCGTGGAGGAGGAGGCGCTGCGGCGGCACTTCGGCTCGCTGCAGTCGGCGATGCTCTCGCTGTACGAGGCCGCCGCCGCTGCCGTCGCTGTCCCATCTCTCCTGCTCTTCGTCTCCTCCCTCCTCCACCCCCTCCTTGTAAGGAGGAGGTGGCCCGACCCCCTCGCGTCGTGAACAGATCGCGGCAGGAGGTTTTCGCCGCACGGCAACGGTACTGTCAAACATTTCTTCGGGATGAGAAAGCGCTCCAGGAAGAAAGGGTCCAGACCTCCGGGGTCCACGTTGTGAAAACAAAAAAAAACACGACGTCGGGGGCATGCGTAGGGGGAGAGGGAGGAGGTGTGTAGGGGGGGGGGGGAAGGGGAAAGGGGAGGAGGGATGAAGGGGGAAGGGGAGGAGGGAGGAAGGGGATGGAGGGAGCGAGGTATTTACCTGGAGGGGGTGGAGGGCTGTGCCGCTGGGCTTTCCTGCGTGCTCCAGCGGGGGACCTTGTTGCGGGAAGCTCTGGTGAAACCTATCCTCATGAGAGGTCGGGTGGCCGACCTGGAGGGGTGGAGGGGATGAACAAATGAATAAATTAATAAATACATATAACAATAATAATAAGAATAACCCCAATAACCATAATAATCATCATCATCATCATCATCATCATCATCATCATCATCATCATCATCATCATCATCATCATCATCATCATCATCATCATCATACTACGAATCATAATACTAATAATAGTATATGTCTATATAACGAAACAGACAAAAAAAGAGGCGGGGGGCAGGAGGGGGTGGGGGAGGAGGAGGGGAGGAAGGCGGAGGAGGAGGAGCAGGAGAAGGAGGAGCAGCTGCAGGAGGGAGGAGGATGATGATGAGGAGGAGGAGGAGGAGGAGGAGGAGGAGGAGGAGGGAGGAGGAGGAGGGGGACGAGGACGAGGACGAGGACGAGGGCAAGGACGAGGAGCTGAAGGAGGACGAGTAGACGGAGGTAAGACTTTACCTGTGCTGCCTTTCGGGGTGGAAGGTCCGCAGGTGGCGGGGCATTACGGGAGCAGCCACCGGACGGAGGGTTTCGTAGCCCCGGCGCGCGGCGCCTGGCAAGCAGCAACACTGGCAGTCGACCCGGGGATATCGATCCCCGCGGCGACTGTGGACATGATGGCGCAGCCACTTCTGCCCGGACGTGGGCGGATTCGGGTTGCCGCTCTAAGGGTGGAGCTGGGTGGAGCTGGGGACCCCCTCCACACCCCCGTGAGCGGAGGGGGAGTCAGGATGGGCCCTCCCTCTTGGCCTTCCCCCGCCTCTTCTCTGCCTCGGCCTGGTTTGAGCCCGCTCGTCGCATGCCTGGATCGCGAGTTCGTGCCCTCGTAGTCGCCACCGAAGGGCGTGACCGGGGCCACCCGCTCCTCCGCAGGGGGCGGCGCCTCGGGCCGCGGGGGGGGGGGGGGGGGCGACGGCCCGCAGCGACAGCGAGAGCTTCGGGAAGTGCGCGGCGGCTTCGCGGCGAGGCGCGGGCAGGACCCCGGGCATCGGGGCAGCGCCGACGACGAGGCGGGTCGGATGGCGAGGAGGGGTGGATCGAAAAAGAACACGCGCCGTAAACAGAAACTTGTGGCGCTCCGCGCGGATTTCTTGGATCCGCGCTGGGCCCCCCCACCCCTGGCGGCGCCTCCGGCGCCGCCCCTGGCGCGCTCCGCGCGCCAGGGGCGGGGGTCCAGCGCAGATCCGAGAAGTCCGCGCGGAGCACCAAAAGTGGATTTGCCTATGGCGTTCTTGCCTCCTCTGATGGCGACGCGCTGATAGGCGAGGCGGGCGGGGTACAGTGCCGTTTTTAATACATGCTCCGCGTGCGGATCATGTATTACAAATGCAGGGATCTAGTATTAAAAACAACGATGAGTTCATGCACACATTCATTCATGAAGTAATCGTGCATTAAAAATCCTACATGCTTAGAAATCCTATGTGTGAAAAGCTGCCCTGTGGGACGAGGCAGGGCGAGCGGGCAGCAGCGCGCGGGACTCTGGGGCAGGGCTCGGGCCGTGGGCCCGGCGTGCGCGGCGCCCGCCTCAGTCGGGCGCGCCCCCGCCCCCTTGGCAGGACGCCCGGGCCTTCCCCGGCAGGCGCCTCCGCCTCCGCCGCCTCCGCCTCCTCCTCCTCCTCCGCCTCCTCCTCCTCCTCCTCCTCCTCCGCCTCCTCCTCCTCCTCCTCCTCCTCCTCCTCCTCCTCCTCCTCCTGGTCAGCCACTACCTGCAATGCCGTCATGCCCTTCACTGGCTGCCTCGCCCTCGACGATTCCTTCATGGTGATCTTCTGCATCGTCTCTCGGGCTCGCCGGAGATGAGGCTTACCACGACGATCCACGGCACGAACACTCCAGGTTCACAGCAATGCGCAACCTCGTGTTGCTCTATTACCTATACCTAGAGGTCAAGCCTACGGCTTCGTCTACAAGATCACCTACTTCCACATACTCCATGCACAAGACCTGCCACAGGGTCGCCCTGGACAGGCTTTACAACAACTTCTGAGTCTGGCCCCGCCCGCCGGCAGGCCAGACGAACCGCATGCGGGCACTGGCGCTCCTCCTCCTCCTTCTCCTCCTCCTCCTCCTCCTCCGCCTCCTCCGCCTCCTCCCTCTTCCCCCTCTTCCGTCCGCTTCGCCGCTCGGCCTTCGGGCCCCCTACCCCTCGTCGCCACGATTGGGCGCAACTCGAAGGGGCACAGTGGAGGCGGCGTGGGCCAACCCCTTTGGCTCGGGCGAGTACCTTCGGCCCACTCTCTCTCTCGCTGCCCCGAGCAGCGCGGGCGGTGGAGGAGGAGGAGGAGGAGGAGGAGGAGGAGGAGGAGGAGGAGGAGGAGGAGGAGGAGGAGGAAGAGGAGGAGGAGCGGGGGGGGGCGAGGCGGGAAGAGCCGAACGAGGAGGCGAGACCTCAACGCACCAGGATGTCGCCGTTGAGACCCCGGGGTGGTGCAGCGTAGGGGCGGGGATGGGGAGCCAGATCTCGCCCCACTGCCTTCATTTTAGCGGCGGTGGTGAATCCAGCGGGGCCGCATGGCATCAGGCCATCTTGCTCGAGGATGAGGGAGGCGCAGGAGGAGGACGACGACGAGGAGGACGAGGAGGAGGAAGAAGAGAAGGAGGGGGAGCAGGAGACGGATGGTGTGCTGTTGGTAGGGGGGAGGATGGAGCAGCAGAAGCCTCATCCAGCAGGTCCGACGGTCACCCCAGAGCTGGAATTTCATGTTGGGGCCTGTCGCTGCCAGGCTGGGTGCGGTGTCTTACCATCTCCCTCTTCCTCCTACTCCTCGTCCTCCTCCCTCCTCCTATTCCTGCTCCTTCTCCTCGTCCTTCTCCTCCTCCTCCTCATCATCCTCCTCCTCCTTCTCTTACTCCTCCTCCTCCTCCTTCTCCTCCTCCTCCTCCTCCTCCTCCTCCTCCTCCTCCTCTTGCGCTTTCTTTCCTTTTTTATGATCCTCTCTCCCCTCCTCCTCCCCTCACTCATCTCCCTCTTCCTCCTTCTCCACCTCCGCCTCTTCCGCCTCCTCCTCCTTCTGCTCCTTCTCCTCCTCCTCCTCATCCTTCCCCTCCTCCGCCACACCACCCTGCGACCGCTTCCCATTCCTTCTCTCTTCTCCAAGGGGGTACTGCCGGGATCCTGCGGTCCACTGGTCATTGTTCGAATGGCATTCGACACAGGTGTGTAGTCGGTGGGACTCCAATCTTCCCTCCGAGGGGGCCGACGAGAAGAACGGAGGAGAGAAGGATGAATGGGGAGGAGGAGGAGGAGGAGGAGGAGGAGGAGGAGGAGGAGGAGGAAGAGGACCAGTGTAAACCCAAGAGCCATCAACGATGCTGGAATACACCCTCCCTGCAAGCCCTCTCTTCATTGGCCCCTACAACGGTTCACCTCCATTGAAGGATCTGCCTCGTTGGAAGACAACCGTTTCAAGACCTGGAGGCATGCCAAAGCCAAAACATTGTTCTCGGGATTCCAACGCTACGGATCAACCGGACTGTTGCTTCTTGGCGACCCTGGATCGTGCCAGAACGCCATTTCTGGGATTTCAGCACCGCGAACCAACGTAAATGCTGCCCCCGCAAAATCCTGAATCCTTCCAAAACACCATGTCTGGTACGTTGATCGTGGGAACCGGTGAAATTCTTACAATTGTTTAAAAACGAATGTGCGCGAGGCTAAGGCGAGAGACATATGTTGAAAAGGAGCCGCCCTCAATCAGTGGAGCTCTGACAACTTTAAAACAACGAATGTGCGCGGCGCTAAGGCGAGACCCACATTTTGAAAACAAGCCGCCCTCATTCTGTTGAAATCGAATGTGCGCGGCGCTAAGGCGAGAACCACACTTTGAAAACGGGTTTTCCTTAATCCGTGAAGCTGTTGCAAACGCTTCAAATCAATGTGCGAGGCACTGGGGCGAGAGCCATATTTTGAAAACCACCCGCCCTCCATCTGTGAAACGGTTGCCAAGTTTTGAGCTTCAGAGTCGTAAGTGGTGAGGAAGTCTCAGGCGAAATGCTTAGCCCGCCCTAAATAAAGCTGGCCTCGGGGTGGGACAGGGAGAAGTTATCCGAACAGTTTCTTTGGGTGGAGGGCAAAGGGTGAAATCTGAAATGCCGCTTCGCCCAAAGCATGGCCACCCGTGAACTTCCCTCCCCGTCTCCCCCGTCCTTTTCCTTCTCCGCCTCCTGCTCCCCCGCTACCGTTTCCGCCCCCATCGTTGCCTCTGCTTTCTCCTGAGCCTCTTCCTCCAAGGCTTATATTCCTTTCCTCTTCCTCCCTCCCACCACCGCCCCCCTCCACCCCCCTCCCATCATTAATTATCGTCGGCCGCCCGCCCGCGCTAATCGACATCGGCAGCGGGGGGGTGGCGCATCACTTTCCTGGAGTCCATGGGCGCTCGGCACTTGACCAGGCCCACGCCGTCGTCGGCACCTCAATTAGAGTCGCCCTCTCTCTCTCTCTCTCTCTCGGGCCCCTGGACCCCACGTCGCCTGGCTGGAGCGCGATGGCTCCGCAGACGTGCGCGCGCTTTCCCTCCGAAGCCCGCTCGGGGCCCTGCTCGGGGCCGCCCCCGCTGCCCCGCGATGGGCCCCCGAATCCCGACCCCCGCCGTTTTTCCCACGCGTTCCCTACCAAAACGAAAGTCAAGAAACGCAGAGCGAGTTCTAGAACAGCAGAAGTACTTCTAAAACGCAATACAACGTTTTAGAATTTCGCATCGTCTGAAAACAGAAGCAACACACACACATTCTAGAACGGCCAAACCAATTAGAACGACGAAGTGAATTCTGGAACACTGGATGGAGTGATGATAGCTGAAGCGAAGCATGTGAGACTAATGTTGGTGGCCGTTCCCTGCGCACCCCCAATGGTGTCGAGAAAGTGCCACGCCTGCTATGCCCTGCGCCATGGCCCGCGTAGACGCCACGCTCGGGGACCACCCCCTGCGCACCCCCAATGGTGTCGAGAAAGTACCACGCCTGCTATGGCCTGCGCCATGGCCCGCATATACGCCGCGCTCGGGGACCACCCCCTGCGCACCCCCTATGGTGTCGAGAAAGTGCCACGCCTGCTATGGCCTGCGCCATGGCCCGCATATACGCCGCGCTCGGGGACCACCCCCTGCGCACCCCCCATGGTGTCGAGAAAGTGCCACGCCTGCTATGGCCTGCGCCATGGCCCGCATATACGCCGCGCTCGGGGACCACCCCCTGCGCACCCCCTATGGTGTCGAGAAAGTGCCACGCCTGCTATGCCCTGCGCCATGGCCCGCGTAGACGCCACGCTCGGGGACCACCCCCTGCGCACCCCCCATGGTGTCGAGAAAGTGCCACGCCTGCTATGCCCTGCGCCGTGGCCCGCATAGACGCCGCGCTGGGGGACCACGCCCTGCGCACCCCCTATGGTGTCGAGAAGGCACCACGCCTGCTATGGCCTGCGCCATGGCCCGCATGGACGCCGCGATCGGGGACCACCCCCTGCGCACCCCCGTATGGTGTCGAGAAAGCACCACGCCTGCTATTCCCTGCGCCATGGCCCACGTGTGCGGCCGTATAGGGACGTGTGCCTCATGTGTCACCCAGTATGTACCCATACGTCGTGTGTATGTTGTGTGTGTGTGTGTGTTTGTGTGTCTGTGTGTGCACAGAAGAGGGAGAAGGAGAGGGAGGCGGGTGGAAGACGCCGGGGCGACGCGGCAGAGAAAAACCAGAACCCCACGAAACATGTGGGGAAAAACGATTCTTGAATTCTGGATCGACCTGTCGGGCGCCTGCCGCGTGCTCGTTCACCCGTCGTGTGCCAGTCGCGTGCTCGTGCACCTGCCGCGCACTAGTCGCGCGCCCCTTCGCCTGTCTGGTCCCAGTCGCGTGCTCTGGGGCCCAGAGGGTCAGCCAGCCGCCCAGCCAGCCATCCATCCAACCATCCAGCCCAACAGTCAATCCGCCAGCCAAACAACCAGCGAGCGAAACAACCAGCGGCGAACCGCCCGGCCAATCGGGGACGCGGCGCCGGCAACAGAGCGAAGCGCATGTATGTTTGCACATGTCAAGGGATTTCGTGCCCGCCTGCCATTAGCAGATGCGCTGAACGTGGATCCGTCGAGGCACAAACATCCCGCGGGTGACATCGGCGGGGCGGCAAGCCTTGTTTGAAATATTGCCGGGTGCGAGCCATCAACGATGCCTGACCACGCGCGGGCGCAATCGTGACGTCGTAGCGAAGCCAGGCGCTGCATATACACCAGCCGCTGCACAACGTAAGCTTCACCCTGACAGCCACCCGCCCACAAGACGGATTGATTCCCGAGGTGCGAAAACCCATGTTAATTTCACCCTCAGCCTTCCACCCTATGAAAATCCATAGGCTGTTCATAAGGAAAAAGAAAGGAGGAGGAGCAGGAGGGGCAGGAGGAGGAGGAGGAGGAGGAGGGGGAGGGGAAGGGGGAGAAGGGAGCGAGGGAGGGGTGGCGAGGGGGCATCGCGAGGAGAGAGCAGCGAGGCGGAGGCGCAGGAGGAGACGCCGCCGGCGACGGCGAGGCCTGCACCGGGGGCATCAACTGGCACGAGATCTTGGACCCGCTGATGTACAACTTCTCCCCGGCCGTCGTCGTCGTCTTCGTCCTGTGCCCCCCGCGCCGGCACGGCGCAAGAGCCTGCCGTCTTCGTCGTCGTCGTCGTCGCCGTCGTCGTCGCCGTCGTCGTGCGCCCCGTACGCCGCCGCGTGGAGCACACCGCGGCGACGGCGCGGTGCCGCGACGGCGTGGAGAGAGCCGCCGGCGCCGTCGGCGCCGTCGTCCGAAGCCCTGCCGCTCGGCGGCGCCCTGGCGAGGCGTCGGCGGCCGACCGGCGCGATGCCACGACGCCGCCCGCTCGGGCCCCAGGGGCTGGGAGGCCCCCGCCCTCCGCGCGCGGCGGCGGGGCGCTGGGCTTAAGTCGGGCATGTCCCTCCACAGGCAGAGTATCGAAGAGTAGTCTGACATAGTCTGGAAGTGTGTTCACAGGCTTCGTACTTTTATTCTCATTCAGGCTTCGTGCTCTTATTAGCCTACCATTGCTAGACGCTCCGCGTAACCCCAGCAGCTGTGAGTGGGCCGGCCGGCGAGTGCGCCTCTTGGAGCTAATTAGGCTTGCCCGTTGTCCCGGACCTCCTGCCCGCCGCTTGCCTCTTCGCTTGCGGCCGCGACCGAAAAAGTAACCCCAGCAGCCCATCCAGAAGCGATGCCCACAGGGGTTGCCTCGATCAGGGAAGTGGGCAGCACGCAGAGGAAGGGTCCTCCAGTGGGGGCCTCTTGGAGCGTCTTGAGTGCATCGGGGAGCTTCTTGGGGCCTCTTGGGGGGCTCTTGGGAGCCTCTTGGAGGCCTCTTGGGCGCCTCTTGGGGCCTCCTGGGGCCTCCTTGGCGCCTCTAGGGGCCCTCTTGAAGCGCTCTTGGGAGCCTTGGGAGCGCTCTTGGGGCCATCTTGGAGGATATCGATCAAACAAGAGGGGAGCTTTAATTAGCGTGCCCCCCCAAGAGGCTAAAATGCGTAGTAAAACCAATGATTTGGGCTTCCTTGCCACGGCCGTTTTGGACGCCTGACACCTCGCGACCAGCCCCGTCCAGGTCCAGGGGATGGGGTAGGGGCAGGGGTCAAGACACCCTCGTCGCACGCAAGCTGTCTAGCTCACTCCCACCCGCCCTCCCACCACAGAAGTGGCATCCGAGTCTCGGCATAGCCAGGGATCGCCACTGGATGGACAGCCACTGGGAACCAAAGCGGACGCCAGGTGCGCGACGGTCGCTGCGGGCTCCACATGCGGTTGGTGTGCCATCCTCTTTTATATATAAAAAAACGTGATGCTCACCCGTCCGCATGGTCCAGATGCTGATGCGGGGGGCGTCAGCATTGTTCTGGGCCTGCGCACAGCAAGCATCATCATGCGGGCACCGCCGCCGTCCCCATCAAAAAAACATACAAAGTGATCGCGGATCACTGTACGACCTGGCTTTTCGCTTTTCGAGTTCGGGCAGCATTGGCCAATGCAGCTTAATGCGAGGCGACTGTTTGGACGGCTACCCGGGCCGCCAGATCGAAACGTGTATGCCCCTTTCAGGTACATGTTCTTCGTGATCTTCGCCCTGACCAATGTCGTTATCCGACTGCCTTCGGCAAGTCCCGCCACCGTGTCAGCCCAGTGCTCCTGGAGGCGAGTGTTAGAGTGGCGTTATGAGGTTTCAACATGCGAGCCGAGCGGCGTTGAAGAAGCAGAGTGTGTTGACGGCTTTTTGGGAGGGCCTCGAGGGACCTCCAAGACGGCCGCCTGGGAGATCTCTTGAGGCCTGCGTGGGGCAGTCTTGGAGCCGTCTTGGGCCGTCCAGAGGCCTTCTGCGGCTGTCTCGGGTCCCTGCAGCGGCCCTTTTGGGAAGCTCGTTTGAGTTCTCGTGGGACCGTCCTGGGCCGTCCACTGGCCTTATTGGGCCGTCTTGTGGCCGCCTTGGAGGAGTATTAGATTGGGCCGTCTTGGGGCCATCTTGGAGGCCTCTATGGCCGTCTTGAGCAAAAGGAAGCCCGAACAATTTGTCCGAAGCCAGAAAGGAAACTCAATCAACCCGTCGCGACCCCAAGTAGGAGTAAGCTTCCTCCCGCATGGGCGAATTGCGTCGTGTTGTTTGGCATTGGTCGACGTTTCTTGGCGTTGCTTGGCGTTGCTTTGCTTGGTTTGGCATGGCTTGGAAGCAACCATTGTTTGGCGTTGGCGTTGCTTGGCGTTGCTTGGCCTTGCTTGGCCTTGCTTGGCCTTGCTTGGCGTTGCTTAGCGTTGCTTGGCATTTCTTGGCGTTCCTTCGCATTGCCTGGTGTTGCTTGGCATTCCTGTGCAGTGCTTGGCACTTCTTGGCATGCTGTTTGACATTGCTTGGCGCTGCTGAGCTTTGCCTGGCGTTGCTCTGCATGGCTTGGCGTTGCTTGGCACGGCTTGGAAACAAAACCACGCAACCCGCGGAACGCAGTCAGGACCCAATACGAAAAAATGATGGAGTGCCGTAAGGGAGCAAGACAAGGCAAACCCAGGCAACGCCACAGTAGCAGAGCAAGGCCATGCAGCGGTGGGGGAAATGCCACGGTAAGGAAACGAGAAAACAAGACCAAGCAACCCTAAGGAATGCCAGCCAGTGCAGGCCTGGCACGCACCGGTTTTCCATGAGCCCGGCGCCGTCCCGATGGGATGATGTTGTTGCAGGGGCGCACGGCATGGTGCTGATCGGATTGCGTGGCGTTGCTTGGCACGGTTTGGAAGCAAGCATGGCTTGGCGTTGGCTGTTTTGCGTTGCTTGTCGTTGTTTGCATAGCTGTGCAGTGCCTGGCGCTGCTTGGCATTACTCTGGGTTGCTTCACGTTGCTGGGCAGTGTTTGGCATTGATTGGCACTGCTTGCGAACTTCTTGGCGTTGATTGGCGGTGCTTGTCACTGCTTGGCGTTGTTGCTTTGCATTGCTTGGCATTGCTTGGTGTTGCTTCGCATTGCTTGGCATTGCCTGGCGTTGCTGGGCACTGCTTGGAAGCACGCCAGGCAACATGGGGGATGCAGTAAAGAGACACGACCACGCAACTCAGGCAATGCAGCAAAGAGACGAGGGCTAGCACAGCAGGGTCTGCCACGGCATGGAAACATGACCAAGCAGACTTGAGGAACGTCTTGCAAGGGAACGAGACCAAGCAACTCGGCAAGAAGACGAGACCCTAAAACCCCAGGAAACGCCAGTCGGTCAGGCCAGGCAGTGCCACCGTGAGGAGACGAAAGACCAGGCAGCCCATGGAAGCACCTCGTGAGCCAGGGATCGACCTAAGCGGTGTTTAGGCGATGTTGTTGGCTGTGTTCGTTTCGATGTCGTTTTGCAGCAAGGTCGGAATGAAGACAAAACGAAGTAAAACGAAAACAAAACGAAAACGAAAAACACTGTTTAGGTCGGCCCCTGCCGTGAGCACACGAGGCCCCCTTTTGGGCTCCTTTTCGAGCCAAGAGGGGTCCAAAAGGGGCCCTACAGGGCCCCTTCATGGCTCTGTTCTGCACCCCCCGTTGAGGTCACCCCCTATGACCACCCGCCCGAGCCAGGCACCCCCCTTCCCCGGGAACGCTGGCGTCGGCCAGGCCCGGCGCCCACCGGCCTCAAGCACACAAAGGAAGGCACCGTCGGGCGAAGCTTGGACATTTTGCGAGGCCCGCTTCATCGGAGAAGGGTTTGGGTTGTTCTCCAGGCCCTGCTTGTGGGTCCTCGTGTGGGCCTCTGGGGCCGTCTCGGGGCCGCCTCGGGCCGTCTGGAGAGGCGTACGAAGGCCAGCTTCAGCGGAGAAGGGTTTCGGTTGTTCTTCGAGCCCCCCTTGGGTCCCCTTGTGGTCCTCTGGGGCCTGTCTTGGGGCCACCCTGGTCCGTCTGGACAGGTGTGTGGAGGCTACAGTGCCGTGTTTGATACATGCTCCGCGTGCGGATCACGTATTAAGCATGCAGGGGTTTAGTATTAAAAACAACGATGAGTTCATGCATACATGTATTCATACACTAATCATGTATTTCAAGTCCTACATCGGCCCAATGAAAGTTCCTGGAATTTTCATCACGACGCTGGCCCGCGGAAGTCGACGGAAGTAAAACGAGGCGGAAGACGGGGGAAGGCCGCCGGAAGGCTTGCCAATGTCAGCGGAAGTAAACGACGCCCCTTCCGAACCCCCTACCCCCGTAGAAGCCTTTCAATGTTGTCTTCCTCCGTGGGCCGGGCGGGATCCCGCCTGGCTTATTCCGCTTTAATATCATAAATTTAGTTCAGGACGGTCCAAATCCCACCCATTAAAAATGGGGTTGACCAAAATCCCGGGCCGTTCACGGATCCCACCATGCTGGGATCGGCTCGAAGTAAGATGGGGCTCATAAGTTGCAGTATTATTGCCGTGTTGGGGTCGTCTTGAGGTCATCTTGAGATCATATTCCGGTCATGTTTGGATCACGCAACCATCGCGTGGTCATTATGAGGCCACCCTGGGTGCGCTTGGATCCATCTTGTTGCCATCGGGCCATCTCGGCGTCACGCGTTGCTCATGTGTTTCGTCATCTGCGAGTCGGCCTGAGACGGTCCAGAATCCATGGCGGGATCGCGTTGGGGTGGCATCATCCTGGGTCCTCTGGACGTTATCGTCCGTGGCCTGAGGCATTCCTGGAAGCATGTTGTGGCCATGGGACGTCTTGGGATCGCGTGCGTGCGAACGCTGAGCACGCGCGCGCGACTTTTCATCTTGCCGACGGGTTTACATACATATCATTCCTCTTGCGAGTTTCCAAGGAAACTTTTGTTGGAGCCAAGTATGTGTTGTATATAAAAAAACAAGGTAGTAAACAAAAAACGGCCCTGTATCTTGGCAGCCTGGGTGGCCCGCCGCGGCCTCCTCGGCAGCTTTCGGGAGAGCACGGACCGATATCGCCTTCTGGTCTGCCAGGGGCCGCGGCCTCGGGCGCGCGGGGGGCCGGGGAGCGCCACGAGTCGGAGCGGGGCCTCGGGAGCCCGGGCCCAGAGCTTCCCCACGAGGGCCAAGGCTTGGCATTGCTCGGACGTGTGCATTTTTTCCTCGGCGAGGGCCTCAGAGGAGCATCCTCGACCATTTGGCGAACAAAAACACGCACGAAACCGACAAGAACACGGGAAATGGACGTCCGAGCGATGGCCAGAAGGGGGGGGGGGGGCGGCGCACGTGGCGAAGCGTGACCCAGGAGGGAGAAAAGACACGCGGACACCAGGAAGCGTCGATTCCCCAGAAAATGTGGAAAAATATGGGAAGCGCAGGGGGGATCGCCACGAGGGAGCGTGGCCTCGGGAGCCCGGGCCCAGAGTTTACCAGCCTCGAACGTATCCCTATCCCCAAGGTTGGCACGCCAAAAGGCGATGGCAATCTTAGGGATGTGCCCTCAAAAAAGAAGGGAATCCCTAAGATTGGCATCGTGATGAGGAGATGCCCAGCATAGGGATAGGGATATTTTCCAGGCTGGTACACAGTTTCCCCACGAGGGCAAAGGGGGGTGTGGGCGGTGCACGTGGCGCAGCGTGGCTCAGGAGGAAAAAAGACACACGGACACAAGGAAGCGTCGATTCTCCAGAACATATGGAAACATATGGGAAGTGGGGGGGAAGACAAAGACCAAGAAGGTATGGGAAAAGATTGGGAATCTGGTTATTTGTGTCTATTTTTTTGTGTGTCCCAGGGCCCCTTCAGTGACAGGAGGGGGGGGGCTTGGTGGGGGGCCTCAGAGGGCTCACAGAAACCCTGCCAGACTCGAAGAAGAGAAAACGAGACAAGCATAAACGTTTGGCGCTCCGCGCGGATTTCTTGGATCCGCGCTGGGGCCCCCCGGCGGCGCCTCGGGCGCCGCCCCTGGCGCGCGGAGCGCGCAAGGGAGCGGGGTCCAGCGCAGATCCAAAAAATCCGCGCGGACCGCCTAACGTCTGTGCTCATGCCGTTTTCTGCTCCTCTAAGAAACCTCACCAGGCTGCGCATGGCATGCGGCCATAGCTCAGCGTGCCAGGGGGCACGATGGCGTACAGGAGTTTTCGTCGAGTCCGCTCTGCGCACGGCGGAGGATGACAAGAGGCGGCAGTTGAGCGCCCAGATGTCCTCGCTGTTCCGCCAAGCAGACGAGGACAGCTCCGGCACGGTCACCTGGGACGAGTTCCAGGACTGCCGTGACGAAGAGGGGGCCTCAGAGCAACGGGCCCCTGGACCTTGGGGATTTCCCTGGGGCTGGCGGGCTCTGCATCCTTGATTCGCCGAGGGAAGACGTCATCCTTGACTTACTCTTGAGCGGCCCAGAGGCTGGGAACGGCGAAGTAATGAGGACTCTTTCCCCCAAGGGCCACGTTTATCTTCACTGTGATGCCCCGAGGTTCGCTCAAAGTCTGTCCCTGGACCCCTCCCATGGCCCGCCTTGGCCAGTTGCCCGTGCACTGTCCAGCCGTGGCGACAAGAACCTCCAGATTCGCCAGAAAGCATCTGAATCTACGACGCCCTTGTTGTCTTTGTCGTTGTTGTCGTCGACGCCGCCGCCGTCGCCATCGCTGTCGTGCGTCGTCGTGCGTCGTCGTTCGGTCCAAGACCGCGGTCGTCGTGCGGCCGGCGAGGTGGCCCTCGCCGCCCTTGCCGCCGTCGTCATCGTCGTCGCCGTCACCGCCGTCGTCGCGCCGTCGTCGCCGCCGTCGTCGCCGTCGTCGCCGCCGTCGCCGATGTCGTCGCCGCCGTCGTCGCCGCCGTCGCCGCCGTCCCCGCCGTCGCCGCCGCCGCCGTCGTCGCGTCGTCGCCGCCGTCGCGTCGTCGTTGCCATCGCCGCTGCCGTCCTGTCGTCGTTTCCGTCGCCGCGCCGTCGCCGCCAACAGGACCACCTCGCGGCGCCACAGCTGCAGACGTTTCTGAAGGCAATCGACCTCGACGTCGACGAGGCCCGCGCGCTGTTCCACCTGCTCGACGTGGACGACTCGGGCGAGATCGACGCCGAGGAGCGGGCGGGGCCCCAAGAGAAGGATGGGGGATGAGGCGGAGGAGGGGGAGGGGGAAGAAGAGAGGAGGGGGTGATGGTAGAGAGAAGGAGGGAGGAGGGGGAAGAGAACGAGAGAGGAGGAGGAAGAGGAGAAGGGGGGGGACGAGGAGGAGGAGGAGGAGGAGGAGGAAAATGAGGAGGGAGGGATGAGGAGGAGGAGGAGGAGGAAGAGGAGAGGAGGAGAGGAAAGAGGAGGAGGAGGAGGAGAAAGGAGGAGGAGGAGGAGGAGGAGGAGGAGGAGGAGGAGGAGGAGGAGGGAGGAAGGGAGCAGGAGAAGGAGGAGGAGAGGAGGAGGGTGGACGAGCAGGAGGAGGAGGAGGAGGAGGAGGAGGAGGAGGAGGAGGGAGGAAGAGGGAGAAGGACGAGGAATAGGAGGAGGAGGAGGAGGACAAGGAGGAGGAGGAGGAGGAGGAGGAGGAAGAGGGAGAAGGACGAGCAGGAGGAGGAGGAGGAGGACGGAGGGAGGAGGGAGGGGAAGTAGAGGAGGAGGAGGAGGAGGAGGAGGAGGAGGAGGAGGAAGAGGAGTAAGGGAGGGAGGGAGGGCGAAAAGGACGACCAGGAGGAGGAATGAGAGGGGGGGAGGAGGACGGTAAGGAGAAGGAGGAGGATGAGGAGGACAAGGAGAAAGAGGGAAGAGCTCCGAGAAGGAGCTGGTGCATGGCTGCCTGCGGCTCCACGGGCAGGCCAAGGCTATTGAGCTCGCGGCCTTTATGCACGAGTTCCGGAGGACCGTGCGCAGGGCCAGGGTCCACGAGGAGCGGTCGTCGTCGTCGTTGTCGTCGTCGTCGTCGTCGCCATCGGCGTCGGAGGCGCTCGGAGGCCCTGGTGGCTCGCGACGGCACTCGGCAGCGGCGGATGGGGGGGGCGGCGGCGGCGTCGACCCCGGCCCTCACGGCTTCCAGGTTCCGAGCGTCGGGGGTCGATCGAGGGTGGAGGGTCGACCCTCGGGGCCCGAGGTTCGAGGGTCGAGGATGGAAGGTCGAGGGCCGAGGTCCGACGGGGAGGACTCGGAGGAAGAGGAGGAGAAGGAGGAGTCAGGAACACAAACACACACACACACACAATACGGGACGCGAAAACGACCACAGCCACTGCTTTTCTCGTGTTGCCGCCTTCCAGCCAGCAGAAACAAAGCAGTGGTTGTAGTCATGTTCGGTAAGCTTGGCTCCAGGGAAATGACCACGATCACTGCTTCTTTTTTAGCCGGCTGGAAGGCGGCGCAAACAAGAAGCAGTGGCCGTGGTCATTTCCCCGTCCCGCACAAAACAAACACCTTCCTCGGTGGCGCGCTCCGCACGCCAGGGGGGCCAGTGCCGATCAACAGCAATCTGGAAGTGGTCTCTATCTATCCGTGCCTGCCTGGACTTGTCTCTATTTGCGTGGGTCTGCCGGGGGCCCATTGACGGCGCTCTGCTATGCTGGTGCCGCCGTTTGCTCCTCAACAGCTGGAGGAGCTGGCCCGCCCCTCGACCTGGCTTGGATCAGTGGCGGTGCGAGTGGCACGGACAGACGCCAACCTGGTCAGGCACGAGCAGGCGCCAACACGACAAGGGATGAGCACTAAGCCTGCCAGGCGCGAAGAAGACGCCCTTCTGGTGGAAGTGGGGGTCTAGCTCTGATCCGAGACACCAGCGCAACACACCCGCGACACGCCCCGCGACGCACCCCGCGACCCACCTAAGACCGACCCCGCGCCCGCCCCGCTCAGGAGGGAAACATCGTCACAGGCACAAGTGAACGCCGATGTTCATGAACTCTTGGGAAATGCAAGACGTGGAGGGGGAAGCGGACATCCAGAAAAAAAATGAACCAAACAGATCGATTGGCGTTCGGCCCATCCCGCAACCGTGCCTGGGTTAAGGGTATAACGCATATAGGATGGTCTTTGGGGTCTCGTTGGGGGCCTCTCGGGGGCCTCTTGGAGGCGGTTTTGACGTATCTTGGAAGCCGTGTTGGGGCCTCTTGGGTCCTCTTGTGGGCCTCGTGGCCTCTTCGGGGCCTCTTGGGGTCTCTTGGGCGCCTCTCGCGGCCTCCTGGGGATCTCTTGGGGCGGAAGGCTCGGATGTTTTGTTCGTGGTCCTTCTTGTGGGCCCCTTTTGGGGCCGACTTGGGGCCCCCTTGGGCCGTCTTCGGGGCCTCTCGGGCCGTCTCGGGGCGCTCTTAGGCCGTCATGGGGTGATCTTATGGGCCTCTTGAGCCGACTTGGAGCGTCGGGAAGCCGAAATCCTTCAATAACCGAAGGGAATCAATGATGTTTGCCTCTTGGGGCCATCTCGCCCGGCCTCTTGGAAGCTTCTTGTGACGTCTTGGAGGCATTTTGGGCCATCTTGAGCCCATCTTGGGCGTCTTGGGGCGATCGTTCGGCGACTTGGGGCCCTCTTGGACTCATGGAAAGGGGACGGGAGGTCGGTTTCGGGTAGCGCAGCGCCCACAGGAGGCGCAGGCAACACTTCAGAACTCACGGGAGCTAGCCCGAAAAACCGGAAAGGCTTGGGACACGATTGGTTCAGGCCCTTGAAGACTGTCAATTTTCGCTGCTGCAGCAGCAGCAGCAGCACAGCGTCTACCTCTTAGTGCTGCATGGGTCTTGGGGCACTCCACTTCGTGCCAGAAACACGGTCGGTGGCGGATAGAGAGAGTCCTGGAATGTGTCTCTATTTGTTTGTGTGTATGTGCCCTGGTCCCTTTGTATGCTATCGTTCTGCCGTTGTTTGTTCCTCTGCCTCTGTAACTAGGAACCGGTGGAACGAACTGAAGCGGGCAATTATTAGCACATCTAGCCGACAAAACACCAAAAGATGACCCTCTGGAGGAGCTGGTGGAAAGGGCCCTCAAGGCTCCTCCTCTCCGTCCTCCTCATCCTTCTCAAAATGTCATGCTCCTCGGCTTCTTCATCTTCCACCTCCTCCTCCTCCTCCTCCTCCTCTTCTCCCTCGAGGCTCCTGCTCTCCTTTCTTCCTCTCCTCCTCTCCTCTTCCTCCTCATCCTCCGCCTCCTCCTCCTCCTTTTCCTTCCCCTCCTCTTCCTTCTCCTCCTCACTCACATAGGATGTGCCGCTGCCGGTTGGCCCCATCGCCGGCGCGTGCCGCATGTTCTCTGAGAAGGGAAAGCTTCGTTGTCTACGTCACAGAGTTGCCATGATGCTTTCTGCTACGCTCTCAATCACCGCAACTCTCGTTGGTAGTGGAGCTGGGAGCGACCCCAGCTCTTAATCCACGGAAGACGCGCAGAGTGCGAAGTGGACGCACATTCGCATGTCTTTTATTCTCCGCATCGGTACCGCCCTCTATTCCCTTAGCAGCCTGTGCTGTTGGGTGTTTTGCAAACCCTGCGGGCAATTCGTCGCGGGCGCTGGCCAGCACTCGGATTCGGGTTGTGCGCAGTGGTGTTGGCTTACATCTTAGTGAGCACTGTGCGCACCCCGAGTGGCACGCTACTGGTTAACGTACCTGTTCCACAACCCTCGTCGCCGACTTAAGGGTGCCAGTGCCGCAACCGCTGCCCTCAGCATCGAGCTGGCCTTCGTCACTGCGCAGGTCCGAGTTCCAAGGCGCGTGCGCAGCTCATCTCGTAGTGGAGTTCTTCAGGTGAGGATCTCCATCTTGGCGCCATAGGGCAGCATCAGAATTCCCTCCGTGATCGCCATACTTTGGTTCACGTGCATGATGCCAGGGGGAGCAGGACAGCAAGGTGGTGGAGGCCGAGGCGGCATCACCACCCGCTAGCCACCTGACTGGTCAACAGAGCGCGAGTCCCCCTATCCGTTCCGCTTTTGGGTGCAGGACTTGCTCGCGCGGGGCGTAATTACTCGCCATTGACTTGGACAGCGCCCAGCAGCGCGCAGCCATCATCCTGAACTTCGGTGGCGCTGCACGCGAACCCATCGGTGGCGCCGCACGCCAACCCACCGCTTTCCCTAAACTTCACGGGGGATAATTGAAGGAGGCCTGGTCAACGGCCAGCCCGAGGACGCCGTCACTTACCGCATCGCGAACCTCGTGAGCAGGTTCGGACCACTTGGTGAAGAGTCACATCTACAAGCCACACTGGGGCTCTTCGATTTCTCGAGACGGCTCAACGAAATCACCGATGCGTCATTCTTGTGGTTCCTTACCCTGCAACCCCGAGCCACGCACAACGGTGGAGCTGCGATGTCATAGGAAGACTGCGCGTGGTTGCTCCTCCGAGCGGTCGTTGTCACGGCCAGCCAATTCACGACGCTGTTCTGGCCATTCGGCAACATCTGCTCCGTAACAGAGGCTGAATTCAACAGTCTTTCGACGATGCTCACACGCGTGGAACAACATAACATCTTGGAGCAAGCACGCAACGACATCGTCAGTGCCCTCTGGGCGCCGCCATCCCTCGGACGCTCCGTAGGTGTGACTAGCGGCAGCAGTAACCAACGCGGCACGCACTCCGCAGACCCTTGGTACAAACAGGAGATGGACCTTTGGGCTGCGAGTGCTGCCGAACTCCCAAGTGCCAGAGGTGCCTCCGCTCAAGCCAGTAGCTCGAGGCCGAGCGCAGCGCCGCCGCAGGCCGCTTATCCTGCCGCCGCGCGGCCGCGCGACGATGCCACGCAGGCCTACATCGGGTGTGCGAGCAGCGCCAGTTCCGACGCCAGCTCGGATATCGGAGATGCGATCGGCGATCCATCATAACAGTTTAGAGATCTATTCCTGGCTCAGCTCGACACCCAGCTTGTCTGGCAGATGAGGCACCACGAACAACGATGGCGACGCCACATGAACCAGCCCACCAGACATGTCAGACGATTCATCAAGAAGAGAGGGCGCCCGTTCAAAGCAAGGCAAGGAAGCTCAGGAGGGCAGCTCCCTGGCCCATCTGACCCGCGACCAGGTCGACACCGCCCTCCACGGCGGCGACAGCCGCTGCAGAGGAAGGCGCTTCGGCGGCACAGGGCATGGGCAGCAAGGGGCGGCCCGCCAGGGCTGCGGCGGGCAGGCGGATGAAGCGCAGCACCTGCAGCTTGGAGCTCCGCGTCAGAGCTGGATGCCCACAGGCAGGCTCTGGAAGTTCGGGTGCGCGAGGATTTGGCCCGAGCTTCGGTGGCTGCGCTGACTCGGAGCTTGTCGGCGGCGCCGTCGTTCCGCCGCGGCGCTGGCCCTCCAGCACTGGTGGGGCCCCCTCGGGCGCGCAGGACTCGCGGGCAGGCGCAGCGGCAGGGGCAGGAAGCGGAGCGAGAGCAGGGCCAGGGGCAAGAAGCGGAGCGAGAGGGGGACGCAGCGTCGGACGTCAGGCCCGAGAAGACTCGGAGGGGAGGCGAGAAGGCCGAGCGCCGCGGGCCACGACCCCCCGCCGATCAGCCCCTCGCGAGGCCGCCCCGGGCGAGGCGCCGGCAGCCGAGCCGGGAGGCAGGCCGCCGGAGGGGCCGCCTCCGGTCGAGGAGGGCTGCGGGGAGAGCTTCCGGCGAGCGAGGCGGCAGCGCGACGCTTTCGCACGCCCCTCGTGGCCGGCCCTGCCTGGCTCCCATCTCCCACGCCACTTGGTCTAGGCTGCTCCACTCTCGCTTTTTCTTTATGTATACAGTCGGGGCCCTGAAGAAGGAACCCTTTTCGTTGGGGAGGGGCTCCGTGTTCCTTAAGTGTTTCGCAGTTTGCCTTGGATTTTCCTTAGGTTTTCGATACGAAGTCGAAGTTCAACTTATGGAAAATAGGAGACTCGTTCCTTATTTAGGGTTCCTTAGGTCAACGCCTCGACTGTGTATATATATATATGTATGTATATCTTTATTCCTTTTTGTTTTCTCTCTCTCTCTCTCTCTGTTTCTCTTCGCTCAACGCGGCCCCGAAGGGTTCTCTCGCCTGACATGTTGCTATAGACTGTCGGACTGTCAGTCCGCAGCTCGGAGCCTTCACAGGCACAGTCACGGCACTGGGTGAGAACACCCACACATTACCAGCTTGGAACATATCCCTATCCCTATGCTGGGCACCTCCTCATCACGATGCCAATCTTAGGGATTCCCTTCGTTTTTGAGGGCGAATCCCTAAGATTGTCATCGCCTTTTGGCGTGTCAATCTTAGGGATAGGGATACGTTCGAGGCTGGTTAACACACTTTTGCGTGAGTTGTGCCCCGTTCTGTTCTGAAGTGCGTGGGCGAGCTCCCGAGTGTAGTCGGCGAGGCGCTGTATCCCGGGGGGTGGATCGTTGCGGCTTTGATCCCTGGAGCTGTCCGATTGCCCGTGCCATCGGGTTCGGGTGCAGGATCTTACAGGATCTTGCAGGATGTTGCAGGATCCTGCAAGGCCTGACTGACCCGGGTCTGGTTTGACCCGGGTCCGCAGGTCCCCGATCCGAGAAGGGAAAGCCCCGCTATCTACATCCCATTGTCGCCACGAAATTTTCTCTTCTTCGCTTCCAGCCTCGCAATTCCAGCCCCTCTCGGTTCCTGCTTCCTGGTGGCATGACGTCCCCGTGCGTGCTGTAGTTCCTCCACCTCCTCCTCCTCCTCCTCCTCCTCCTCCTCCTCCTCCTCCTCCTCCTCCTCCTCCTCCTCCTCCTCCCCCTTCACCACCTCCGCCTCCTCCTCCTCGGTGCTCTGGAGGAGCTGGTGGAGCAGGCCCTGGAGCGCATCTGCGACCACCTCGAAGGCCACGGCGCCCACGCGCCAGTGTCCAGGTAGCTGGCGGCCCCGCCGTGGCGGACCGCCGCACTGGGCCCACGGCGCGCCCGCCCGCTCGCCCGCCCGCCCGCCCGCCCGCCCGCCCGCCGTCGTCGCGGCCGTCGCGGCCGACGTTCCCAGGGGAGGACGGAGATGGGAGGAGGGGGAGGCGAGGAGGAGGAGGGGGAGGAGGAGGGGGTGGAGGAGGAGGAGGAGGAGGAGGAGGAGGAAGAGGAGGAGGAGGGGGAGGGGGAGGATGAGGAGGAGGAGGAGGAGGAGGAGGAATATCGCTGAACCCATACAGAAGGAAACCACAAACACAGAAATATTGCAGTAAGCACAACAGGAATCCACACAACTGGAAACATGACTATCTCGCGAAAGCAAGGAAGATACGCCATAGCACACGCAAATGGCCCCAGTACGGCGTTCAAACAACAGGATATGGTAAGGACCTGGTCGACTCATATTCATATAGCATCTCCTCCTCCTCCTCCTCCTCCTTGTATGCATCGTGCCCCTGACGTCTCTCTCCCTCTCTCTCTTGCTCTCTTTCACTCTCCCTCATTCTCTCTATACACATGCATGCACATACATCTGTTTACGCATGAATAAAAGTATATGTCAGTAATTATATAGATGTATATGCTTACATACTTATATCTTTAACTATGTGTGTATGGATCCGGTGGTGCTGCCGCGCAATTCCGCCACTGCGCTAGGGCGGGCGCGGTGGGCGGGGGAGGAACATGGGAGGATGGTCAATGGACCCCCCCTTCCCGCTTCCCTGAGCATTGTAGTTGAGACCATGTTCTGCCTGGAAGGCCAACGACGCAGGGACTTCGCTACACCAATGAACGCATCTTGGGCTTGATGCGTTGGGGCCCTAAGTATTGCTTCTCAAAAAGCGAAAGGGCCAACGCGCACCAGCCGGCGCAAGTGCGGTGGCGGATTGATATAATCCGTGGAAGGTCTTCGCGGCCACGCTCTGCAGCGCTCGCTCGAGGAACGAGCTGTCGAGGGCCAACCTGTCACCATCAAAACTATGGTCCAGCAGCTGGGACCTCCAAAGCTGACGAGAATGATCCAGGCCCTCACCCCGAAGCTGTCGTCGAACATGTGGTCTCACCTCTGAACTCATGGGGCAGCCGGCTCTGAGGTCTGGACACGGCCGGGGACAGAATCGGGATGAAGAGTTCATGTGAACTACAGTCGGGGCCCTGAAGAAGAAACCCGTTTCGTTGGGGAGGGGCTCCGCGTTCCTTAAGTGTTTTACAGCTTGCCTCAGGCTTTCCTTATGTTTTCGACAGGAAATCGAAGGTCAACTTATGGAAAAAGGGGCCTCGTTCCTTATTTAGGGTTCCTCAGGTCAACGCCCCGACTGTATGGGGCTGCCGCTTCGGCCCTGCTGCCTGCCGTGCGGCGCCCGCGAGGCGGTGGCGCCGAGGCTCCCGTCGCCCCCGGGGCGCCAGGCACCGCCGCCCTGTACAGACCCGAGGGCCTCCGGAAGGGGGCAGCGGCGCCGGCACGCTGGCCCACCGGGAACTTCCTGCTCTGCGGCCCGTGCACGGGCTCGCGGCGGCCGCCGCTCCGACCGTTGCCGTCTTCTCCCAGCTGGCGCTTCCGCTTTGGGAGCTCATCGTCTGCGGGCAATATTTATATCCATATCCAGTGCGTCTTGGACTTTCTTGGAAGGGGCGCCGCAAGGCCGAGGCGCACTGGATATGGATAAAAATTGAGCCTGTCGGAGGCAGATTATAATCTATATCCAGTGCGCCTCATGTTTCTTGGGAAGAGTGTCCGAAACTCCAAGACGCACTGGATGTGGATAAAGACATTGCCCGCATCGTCGCCTCCTGCCTGCCGGCAAGCCAGTCGACGTGCCGAGTACACGAGCGGGCCGTCTTGGGTCCTGGCCGAAGCCACGGTGAGGCCGTCGTGCTTGGAGCCAAACGCTGCCGCAACGACCAGAGCATCACGAAAGCCCTAGGGCGCGGCCATCGACACCACGAGGTGCCACACTCACGCGCGCTGCGGGTCCTGATGCGGGTCCTGGTGCTTGGGCTTCATGCGGAAGACCGCCCGGTCGATGGCGGGGCCGTCCATGTCGTTGAGGCACTTGAGAGCGTGTTGTACCCTCTGCTCGTGTGGGCTCCCCTCGTCCATCCTCATGAAGGCCTCCTTCATCGTGACCACCATGCGCGCGAAGAGGACCACGCGCAGCGAGCACCCGGCGGGATGTGGAGGCCCGTCGCCCAGCTTGAGGTCCCGCCACCCCTCCCGCTGCTTCACCACCTGGTCTTAGACTGCTGGGTCTTTGAGCAGTGCTGGCATCGTGGACCGATCCGCCAGCTCCGCGATCGACCTCCCGTGTGCCACGAACAGCTGGGCCATCGCTCGCTGGACGCCGCTGGGGCGCGGACCGGCCCTGGGCTTATGTCGGGCCTCTCCCCCTACATGGGGATTTTCGACGAAAAATAAAAAGCACCCCAAACATACACCCAAAAGGTCAAACATACTCAAAAAAACAGTCCCCAGACTATTTTTTGATTATTTTTTGATTATTTCTGGGGTATTTGTTATTTTTCGTCGACAATACCCCTGTATGGGGGACAGGCCCGACTTAACCCTGGGCTGCGCCACCGCAGGTTGGCCCGCTCCGGCCGCCGCTGCCCCCGCAGCCCCGAGGAGCGCTATAGCGCCATAACCACTGGCAGGGAGCGCTGTCCAACGAGCTTGCCGGGCCGACACTTCCGCAGACGAAAGCACGTGTTTATATCGGGGGCGGCAAAGAGGGGGGTGATGACTAGGGGGGGTTGGATATCATGGCGGGGGCCATGATATTTCCCGAGATTTCATGGCGCTTCTTCTTGTTTCATTACGTCCCTGGCCCCCCCGCTGGGTCGCGCACATGACGCCCGTCATGATTTGCACCCCCCCCTCTCTTGGACACCCCCCTCTTGGCCGCCGCTCCCGATGATACGGAGCAAGGGGCATACCACACCTATACGACCACCCTTCGGGTGATAAGGAGGTCGTGGGGGGGGAGGGAGAGGGGGGAAACCAGCATCGATCTCACTATCGATCTCACTGTCGATCCCACTATCGATCTCACTCAACGGGACACCACGAGACACCACGGGACACCACGGGACACCGCGTGACACCGCGAGCCACCGCCGGACAGACTGGCGGACGGGCGGGCGGGGGAGAATCATTTGAAATTTGTCTTGACTTCGCCCTAGCACCGTCGGACACCACGGGACACCGCGGGACACCGCGAGCCACCGCTGGACGGGCGGACGGGAGGGGGAGAATCATTTGTCTCGACTTCGCCCTAGCAACGACGGGTTCATTCCTCTCGCGCGCCCGCGCAGCTTCGCCTCGCCCGCGCGCACGACACAAACGAAAGGAAACGATTTCCTGGTTGGGGGTGTCCGATCCACTGCGATCTCACGCCCCAACCTTCGATGCAACGCAAATTTTACTACATGCTTCAGAATGCACGCGCGCAGGAAATATGGTTTGATGTCGGTTGCCACAGTGCTCGCAATACAAATTCCATTGTAACACCACGGCTGACGTGACAACAACAACATCATCATCAACAGCCCAGCGGGGCAGTTTTTCTTCAAGAAGGAGCTATCGCCCGAATGGCAGCCCAATCGGGTCTTGGGCTTTCGCCTTGCAAGGAGGCGCTTCTTGCACTGAACAGGAAGGCTTGTGGAGATTTGTGAGGAGGGCGTTTGGGACGGGAAGGTGTACTGCAGCATGGCCGGCGCAGCTTGGGTTCCTTGTGATCCTCGCCCTCCTCCCTCCTCCACTTCCTTCCTCTATGTCATCCCTTCATCTCCACCTCATCCCCAACCCTCCCTCCCCCCCCCGGCCCTTTCCCCCTTGTGTGCGTGCCCGTCGTAGAAGAGAGGCGGCGCATTGTTCTCCTTTTGCAAATTTGTTGTGCGTGTGTACAGGTCGCCCGCAGAGGGTCCCCCGCGGCTCCTGCCGCCAGCGCTTTCGGCTCGCTGGGCCCGGAGGCAGGTCAGCGAGGAGGCAAGCGGCAAGGAGGAGAAGGAGGAGGAGGAGGAGGAGGAGGAGGAGGAGGAGGGGGAGAGGCAGCAGGATGAGGAGGAGGAGGAGGATGAGGAGGAGGAGGATGAGGAGGAGGGGGGAGGAGGGGGAGGAAGAGAGTGGATATGGACGGGAGGAGGAAGTCCGCGCAGGAAGCGGAGGGGTGGTGGTGGGACGTTGGCATGAACACGGAAGTTGCGTTCTGTCACAGTAGGCTCATTCAACGGCGCTGATCCGATGGCGGGTAGAACCCTAAAGCCTGGCATTGGGCGCGGCAGTATCCACAAGGGCAGCGGCTGCCATGGAACTTGGCACGAGCCAGGGCGCTTGGGATGTTGGAGAGCAGTGCCAATCCATGCCTGCTCCAAATAGGGCCCGCGGCGCTGAGAGAGCGCACGCGGCCGCCGAGGGAAGCGACGACCTGGGGCAGCAACGGGCCTGGGAGGGGGAGCAAGCGGCAGTAGGCACACGCCTCGGCACCGACGAGATTTCGACGCCGCGCGCGTCGCCCCAAACCGGGGCCCCGCACCCTCCGAACCTTGGGCCACGCACAGCCAGGGGGCGGCGCCCACGCCCCGAGCACCGAACTGCACCACACAGCGGGACCAAGGGCCACCGGCCACTCCTGCAGCAGCGCCGCCGCCGCCGCAAGGGCCACGGCCTGGCGGAGTTCGGTTCCACCAGGAGCCCGAACGCCCTGCCCGAGCGAAGAAGAAAGGGGGCGTAGAAGCGAAGAAGAAAGGGGAGGGGGGGGAGTGGGGAGGGAGGATCGAGGAGGGAGAAGAGATGATTGGACGAGGTGGTGGAGGACGCGGAGGAGGAGGAGTAGGAGGAGGAGGAGGAGGAGGAGGAAGAGGAGGAGGAATAGGAAAAGCATGCGAGGATGGAGGATGGGAATGAGCAGGAGGAGCACGATAATGACGAGTACCCTCTGACTTGACCGCGAGCATTGTACAGGCGTGCGCGAAGCTCGAGGAGGCGGGGGAAGGGGACAGGGAGAGACGGAGGGGAGCAGGGCGAGGAAGAAGGGAGGACGTACGAGGGATGTTGGGAAGGGTAGCTCGAGGAGGCGGGGGAAGGGGACAGGGAGAGACAGGAGAGAGCAGGGCGAGGAAGAAGGGAGGACGTACGGGGGATGTTGGGAAGGAGGCGTGGGCACGTGAATTGGGCGATGGAAAGGCTTGTAATGCTGCTCCAAGGCAAACTCGGCCCTCGGGGAAAAAAGTTCCAAGTTCAAAAAAAGTTCCGTTTAAGTTCAAAAAAAGTTCCGTTTAAGTTCAAAAAAAAGTTCCGTTTAAGTTTATTTTTTGATTTATTTCAATGGAATGGTAACGAAATCACATGAATTCATATGAAAAAAGCTATTATAATTGTTTATTTTATTTCATTTTCATTAAAAATTGAAAGATTTTGAATTCATGCTCTTCAATTTTAATATTAAAATGATAAGATTTTGCTGTTTTTCCCATACAGGCTCTATTGAATGATATTTTATGTTTTAATGGAATGGTAACGAAATCATATGAACTCATATGAAAAAATGATTAAAATTGTCTATTGTATTGCATTTTTCAATCAAAATTGAAATATATGAAAATGCATGTTTTTCAATTTTAATATTAAAATGCAACAATTTTGGTGTTTTTCGTACAAAATTTATTGTAGTTTATCTGTATTATTAATGTGATGGTAACGATATTATATGAATTCACATGAAAAAAAAGTATTAGAATACGCTATTTTATTACATTTTTTCTTTCAAAATTGAAATATGTTTAATTCATGTTCTTCAATTTTAATATTTAAAAGATATAGGTTTGCTGTTTTTCGTAACAGAATTTATTGAATGTTTTTCTTAATTTAATGGGGTGGTATCGAAATTCTATGA